TAGTTAGGGCGGGGAGGGGCTGATGTGGTCGGTGTAGCCACCGGTGTCAGCGTAGCCGCTGGTGCCAGCGTCGCCGCGTCGGTGCGCGCACGGGTGCCGGGGGGTATCGCTGTTGTGAAGGTAGAAAGTTCCGAGGGCATAGCTGTAAAATAGTAGACTAGCGGAACAGTGCGCTTAGCGCTCGCGTGATTACAGAGTAGTCCGAGGGTGCTTTTGCATATTGACCGGCGGCGCGGGTCCTCCCCGTCGCGGGTCGTCGTCGTTCTGGGCTTGGCCACGCCCAAGTGGGCTGCGCCGTGCGCTGCGCCGTGCGCTGCGCGCGCGTGTCACACCGGTTTGGGCCGAGCCGAAGCACGTTGGGCTGCGCGGTAGAATTGGTTTTTTCAAATTCCAGTGGAGAATGAATGTTTATTCAATAATAGTTTGAGCTGAACTTTGAAAAATAGTAGTAAATTATATAGATGTCCAAAAATAGTGAAACTAAGTTTGTTAGGTTCACAAAAATACCATCCATCTGTTAGTGTAGTTAGATAACAATTAGCTATGACAATGGTAGTTAGATAACAGTTACCTATGACATTGATTCGTGAATCGCTGCTGAGTCGGTACGGCTTGTCTTAACTCTAGCATCGTAGTAAGAACTGAAAGATGGAAGATGATGAAATAGAACTGATTGCTCAACTCTTGCTTGAAAGTAGAACAGATGCTTATATAGACTGGATAGATAATAACTTAATACGGCTGATAATAATAACATAAATAAGGACTCACTATTATTATTGCTTTCTGCCAAAAGAAACCAGCTAACCATAAAGCTTATCATATTCCTTGGAGTCCGGAAATTATTTCCACTGGTCGGATAAGTCTTGCGAGTATATTGTGTACTCGAAGTTTATTTACCCCTGTTGCAGGTAATGCATGAGAAGTATCATTGTGTGGAGGATTCTTCTGGTGGGCACAGACAGATCCTCGTTCTTATCGCTAGATGTTTATTTTAAATTCCGCTGTTTATTATTTCGCACTCTGACATTTGGTAATGTAATAATGTAATTTTTAAGAAACTCTGATGTATGAAATGGACCAGTATTGTAACTCGTTCTCATTATTGGATCCTTGGGAAAAATGTGGATCTTTCGGGTTCTCCCTTGGGGTGTGCCCGACGGATACCGCCCGTTGTAGCTTGCTTTCGGGGTGCTTAGTGTCTGGTGGAAGACGAGCATCTCCGTAAGCGTGTTATTTCGGGCGGTTCTGCCACACTTTGCCCCTACCGTTCCTTCCTCAGCGAATGTTTGGCCGCCATTGGATTCTCTAGCGGATGGTTTGCCGTCGATGTTGCTTTGGTCTTTTCTCCGGCAGATGCTTTGCGACCAAAGGTGTGTTGGTCCCTCCACTTGCGGATGTTTTACCGCTGAGGTTGTTTTGATCTTCTTTGGTGGATGCGTTACCACCAATGTTGCTCAATGTTCGTCTCATCTTCTCTAGATAGATGCTTTGCCACACGGTTATATCCCTCCTCTATAGGCAACTCTTGTGTTGATGACTATTCTTCTCACAGGCACAACCTGGCAGGGTTTTAGGGCTAAGGGTCGCTTTCCCGTTGCTTCTTTTTTTCTTGCTACTTTTGTTTGTTATAGGTCGCTTACCACTAGCTTGGTGGTTTGTAATATGTGATACGGAGGCTTTCTTATAGTTGTGTCGTGTAATTCTCTCTCTTAAATATTAATGAAACACATGCTAAGCCACGTTCGCGAAAAAACGTTTGCGAAAAAAGAGACCACTAGTTTGTGGTGACATTCCAGAGCATATCTTACCACTTTGGTTGTGGCTAGACCCTCAAATAGTTGTCTAGTTCACACAACAATCCCGTGTATCGAAATTTCTTGTCTGTGGTTCGATGTTATCGTCTAGGCTAGATAATTTCTCTAGGGCATCAACCAAACAGGGCCTATGTGCATCTGACATACTCACCTAGGCCGACTCAATAAGTAAGCTTGGTTTGGTTCTTATACTCTCTACGTCTACGAAAAAATACAGTTCTCGCTTTTCGAAAAGTTAAATGGTTTAAACTTTGACTAAAGTTATTCGAAAAAGTATTAACATCCATGATACAAAATAAGTACCATTATGGAATATATTTTCGTAACAAATTTTATTAGAGACATAAATATTAATATCATTCATTATAAATTTGGTCAAATTTAGACTAATTTTAACTAACACAACTCTTTGTAGACAGAGGGAGTATTAGCTTATTAATTTCGTGTTCTCATCTCGATAGCAAAATAAAAAAAAGAAAAAGAAACAAAACAAAACCTGCCTGACTTGTCTCGTTAAGCTACCGAGCTAGTGTAAAAGTAGGATTGAAAAAGCAATCTTATGCAAAAAGAAAACCCAAAGGTATTTCTTCACATGAATTAATTAATGCTGGCTATGCCAAATTTGCTGGCCGTCCAGCCAAACAGAAAGTGAGGGAACCCAGCCACACTGTAATTCTTAATCCCTTCCAGGGACAAATCCGTAATTTAAACCCCTGCCCGCACTATACCATGCCACCTCACCCCTAATCCTCAACTAATCATCTTTTCCCTTTCTTTAACTCCAAATAAACCAAAAAGGAAATAACGCCAACGGAAATTGAAAAAACAAAAGCCACTTCTTCCCCAGTCCACCGCCTCCCCTCTCTGCTCCTCCAGCGAAGCGCACGCACGACGCGCGCAGGCAGGAAGGCAACCGAGCTCCTTTGCTTCTACCCGCGGCAACGCCCCAGGCGCGCGCGACGCGTCGAGCTCCGGAGGCCGAGGGCGAGCGCGAGTGCGGGAGCGGAGGAGAGGAGCGCGCCCGCGACACGGCTGGGACCCCCCCACCACGCTCGGGTCCGAAGCCGGATCTGCCTCGGGGCTCGCGCCCGCGGCGGGAGATCGGGGGGCGCGGGGGCCGCTGCGGCTGATGGAGCGCACTGCCGGCGGATGGAGGGCGCCGGCAATGGAAGGTGGCGGTGGAACGCGGGTGGGTGACCTGTTTTTCATTTTAATGAGGTGGAATGCGGCTTCCCGAGCTCCTTCCTGTTTTTCATTTTATAATGAGGTGAACGATTTTGTTGTTAATTTTGTGTGGGTGGCCTGGGAGGGGGAATGTGGAGCATGGGATTTGGGTCCTCGCCAAATTAGCGCCATTTTGGATGAATTTTGGGGGTTGGTATTCGTGTACTGCTAGCTTCTGGGTCCAATTCGTTGCTCTCAGTTTTCGAAACAGCTTTTTGGCGCAGGATTTGCTAGTTTATGGCTCTGGGAGCACGTTGCTTGCTGGTGTTCCTTGGGAAACTAGTAGAATTGAGCGCGTGTTGTGTTGCTCTGGTGTCTAGATTCGGTTTTGAACTAGAAACACAGGCGTCGCGCCTCCAGCCCACTTATGTGCTGGTTGCCCTCTTTGCTGCTGCCAGCGATGACTAATCCAGTAAAATTGGTCATCTGGGCCACTGTATTTTCTTAGACTTCCAATAATGTATTTGGTGCATTTTCTTCCTGAGTCAGGCCACTGTGAGACCATGAACCTTGACTGCATAAGCTCCCTGATGCTATGATAACCTGCCTGGCCTAAGCCCTAGCTGCCAGCCTGCCACCAAGCGCTGCAGTGTGCAGTTCCTCTTAGATCTCCGTAGAATTCAAGCATGGTGAGTAGCACCAATGTGCCATATCTAGTGTTATAATGTGATACCATGTTCTCTCTCAAGTGAATAAGTTCGTCTATCATGTTTGCGTTAATGGTAAAACAATTTAGTAAGTATCTTGAAGTACCTCAGCTTCCATCTTAAATGAGGAGTGCTAATGGTACGAGGACGACCAGATAGGCTGGCCGATGCAGCTGTGCAGGCGCTATAGCTCATTCCAGAAGCCTTAGCATTGGATGGACAGCTCGATCTCACACTGGTAAGCATCCAATGGCCAGAGAACTATGGGCGATGTGGCCCAATCATTGCCCGGTTCTTGGTGCAGGTTTTGATATGTAGAAATTGGTTGCTCAATCGCCACCGATCTCATGCTTTCTTTCTTTTACTCTTGGGTTGCTTCAATTCTGCTCCCCTTATGTTGCTTTGCTATTGGGGAGCTGTATTTTGTGTTGTGACTGATGCAAATTTATCTTTGGGGTTGCAAATAGAGATGTTGCAAGGTCGAGTTTGGGCTCAATTTGTGCTGTCCGATTTGTCGCTAGGTCTAATTTCGATTTGTTATCATGCTGATTTATCCGAAATGTTATTCCCTCCAAATTTGCCTGAATGCCTGGTGATTTAGCTCTAACACGGGATGAGGTGAGCGTGCTTGATAGTTCAATTGAATATGAACTTTTAGGTTTTCTAGAGATACTTTTGTTGTCCATAAGTGACTTTGGGAACTTTCCAATCAATTGGTTGATTGTTGCTGACTCTTTTGAAGACTTACTATTTGACTTTTTTATGCAATATTTCATTTGATGCAATAAGATGTGCAGTGGATTGTAAAATAGCAAATTCAGATGCCAGGAATACCTCATTACGTTAGCAAATTCTGCTAGTTGGTACGTGTTTTCATCCAGATGTGATGGATTTGGCAGTTTCCGTACTTCTAGTGGTAGAAATAATGGTAGCTTCAACTTTGTGTGCCTTTCCGTGGCCTTCTTTTGTTGGTGTATTTTGTTTTATTACTTTCTATGAATGTATTGGTATGATTGCTCTGTGGGTGCAATTGGGTGGGCTATTTATGATGGTGGCACGCTGGATTGGTTATTTTTTTGTAATGCATGATGAGAGTGATGCTGTATTTCTTTTCATATATTTGCCATTTTCATACCTTATCCTTTGTTTTTCTACACATTTAAAAGTTATGATAAGTTGGTGCAATTTGGACCTGTTCAGTTCTTTATTAACACTACCATATATTGTAGGCCATGATATATGTTCCGGATGGAATTTGACTGCATTCTACTGTCTCTGAAAGAAGGGTACCAGGCTTAAGAGGCCAGGAAAAATGCCACCGTCACCCTCACTGAGGAGATCAAGGTCTCCTGCACGGGAGACTTATCACAAGAGGACCAACAGTTTCGGAAATGTGCTTCCTGCGAAATCAAAGGATGACGAACTCGCTTTGTTCTCTGATATGCAGAAAGTTGAGACGGAGAACTTCTTACTGGAACCGTCAGAGGATTTTGATGACTCAATCGGTAATGCTTGTAAATTTCATCTTCGTCCCTCTTTATACAGTCCCATAGTGTTATTTTTTTTTGGTTACTTACCATTTTTAAGTTATTTCTTTCCATCCATCAGCAAAATTGAGCTATTTCCCGGAAGTAAAACTTGGTGTTAACATTCCTGCCCATGGAGAAAGCCATGATTTGCTTAATGCGGACGGCGATAAAAATGATTATGAGTGGTATGCAAACTTGATTGTACATTTTATATGTCTTGTTTGAAATGGTTGATAGTGGCTGTAGCCTTGATTTGCTTACCTTATGAAGCACCTGCCTTGCATCGTACATTGTAATGTAACGTTTGCTTCGTTGATATTTAAATATTATGGATTGAGTTCTTGTTTCCTTCATGAGTGGTGCCTGTTTTTGTTTAACTTGTTTAGCATGTTGCATGGTTAGTTCTTACAAATCTGGTAATTCTGTGTAGATTTTCGTCTGAATTTTGGCCACAACTTGTAAGGTTGTTGCTTCGTTAAAAAAGAGCTCACGTGGACATGTGGTTATTCTGTAGTCCTGTTTCAATCCTATTTTACATTGAAAGGAACAGCGTCGAATCTTCAAATATTTATAAAAATATTCACATTGTTATCTTGTATTTCTGTTTCTTATCACTAAGCACTCTTGATGACTGCCAGTTAAGACTAGAATTTTTAATGCTGTTCAATTTTGATATGAAGTGATTCCATATTATGATAGTATGAGTTAGCCAATAACCCTTTCGTAAGCATTACATTTGATGTTCTGACGTTCTTAGTTCATAACAGCTAGAATGTTTTCATCGCTTAAAACATGGAATATCATTGAAAAAAATGCCAAATGCACCTTTCATGTTTGAAGAATGTTAAAAATGATATGGTGACCTACTGGCTACTTTTGTTTTACGGATGGTATGAATGTATGATGCTAACCATTAATTCACTCTTGTTATTGGAGGATCATTGCTCAGAAGAATTAGTAGCATAACTCTATGTCTAAATGGCTATTTGATTTATCTTACAGAAAAAAATAAATGTAATTGGTGGTTCTGAACTTAATAATACTTCCTATGCTTGCACTTCTATGTAAGTGTTTATATCTTGGTGCAGGGTAATGACTTGACCTCCATTAAATTTTCCAATTATCAGGTTATTAACTCCTCCAGAAACTCCACTTTTTCGATCTTTGGATGACGAAGAAAACCAATCCATCACTCAGGTTTCTAGGGGCAGAGCTCAGAGCAAGCCTATACAAATTTCAAGATCATCCACGGTGAGTGCTTATGTCCAGAGGGGTTTATTCCAAGAACTATATTAGGTTGCATCCATTACGTATGAAATATATTGTGTTCTATTCATATACAGATGGATAATAGTCAAAGAGCTAGTAGAAGCAGTGCAAGCCCAAGTAGGCTTAGCCCATCGCCACGCTCTATGGGAAGGACAAGATCATCTAGTTCAGCTTCTCGCTCTAGCCCACCACTTGCTGTTCAATCACAAATGCCATCACGAAGATCGTCAACCCCTCCGATTGCTAAGACATTAACACCTCCTCGAAGGTCTCCAAGTCCTGTCTCAAGGAGGATGAGTACTGGTTCAAGTGGTCCAACTTTGAATGGAACAAGAGGAGCTTCACCAGTGAAACCTAATCGCAGATCTTCTTCACCAAAGCTGCATGGATGGCAATCAAATGTTCCTGGTTTCCCTTTCGATGCGCCTTCAAACCTTCGCACATCTCTAACTGATCGTCCAGTATGCCGGTCAAGGGGTGGATCACCTTCATCTTTTAGTGGACTAGAAAAGGGTTCAAGAGGTAGAAGACAGTCAATGTCTCCCACTCCATCTAGAAGAGCCAATTCATCTCACAGCATTGAACGGGACCGAATGAGCTCTTACAGCAAAGCTTCTGCAACATCATCTGGTGAGGATGATCTGGATTCTATGCAGTCTGTACCAATTAGCTACTCCAGTAGCCCAGTTGTGAAAAAGAGCTTGGTTGTGATGAAAACCAGAACCATTGCATCATCAAAGAATCTGTCCAAAAATTTCACACCTAGTTCTGTCCCGAAGCGGTCATTTGACTCTGCACTTTGGTTGCTGGTAAGCATTTCTCTGCTTTTTATGTTATAATAATAGAATATTTTCTCATGTCTTGCAAGCATCTCTTGTATTGTGTAATTAGCAGTTGATTTGGTAGATTGACACTTAGCATACATTAATTTTCTCGTGTTGATCTTGGTCAATTGGTGCAATTTTTCTACTCAAGATACTAGTTGGCACCTTATGCAAATGATTCATTTCTTACTGCTACTGAGAACTATTTTTATATAGCACATTGTTGTATAGTTTTATTTGAACAATGTTGTGGGCGTACTTTTTCAGCAAATGAAGACCATACTTCTGTTTATTGTAGATTTTCTAAAGCCGAAACATGAAACTAAGATGTGATGGTCTTTCTTCCCAGGATCACCGCAAAGCTCCACAAGATAGGTTCCGACCACTTCTATCAGGTGCCCCTGCCAGCACATTTGGGGCTGGGAATGGAATTGATGTGCACAAACCTATGTTCTCACACAATTCCTCTTTGACAACTAGCAGCAATGCAAGCTCTTACCATGGTGCCACTTTTGGCTCTTATACACCTGGCAGCCAAGAGCAACGTGATTTGGTTGGTGAATGGGAAGAAGATGATAGTTCTCGGGGTCATGAGGATATATTTATGTTTGATAAATTGGATGAGCTAAATGAAGAAGACATTCATTACAAGAGCACGGAATCTACGGATAATTCACTGGTCATAGTAAAACATCTAGTAAGTGGAAGACAGGACTTGGAAGGAAGCAGAAGACCTAATCAGTCCTTATGCCATTCTACTGATAGTTCTCAGGTTGGCAATAGTAAAATTGCTACTTGCTCTAGATGTTGGAAGTTATTTGATGCGATGGATGTGGATGAAGAGGGTGTCTATTGTGATGTATGTGCTGCAAAGGTTGGGAATATCTTCACCGGTTCTACTGTACAAACTATAGGAGAAGAAAACCAGCAATATGATAAAACTGCAAAATTGAAACCTTGCATCGCATCTGATCCTCCCATACCCACAGATTGTATAGGCTATAGCAAAGAAGTATCTCTTGATCATCAACTAGTGAACAGTGAATCTTACACTGATTGCCTGGATCAGGTCCCTCCAATTCACTCAATGGGGCACACACCTCAGGAAATGCTACTGGGGCAGGAGGAAAAGATAGACGCAGAGCATAGAAAGAAACATGTTGGGGACTCATTAGGAAATACAAACGATATTTCCTTTCATCGATCTAGTGTGACTGAATGTGAAGAAACAGAACCAACATCTGTGGGGCATGACCTTTTCATCAGAGACCAAATGGATAACCATAATCATGGATTGTCCCAATGTATTGAAACTGTCTCTGAAACTATGACCAGTGACAATTCTCAACTGGGATCAACTACATATCAAAACCCTAAACTTGAAACTACTGAGGGTACTGGGATATCAGTATTGTTAGTCCCTAAGTCAAACAGCAATAAATGGCCTGTTGTAGAAGGGAGGGCCCTGGCTGCTACAAGTATTCTCTGTTCAGAACCCTATTATGCAAGAGATGGTGTCAGTATGATGAAGCGTAGCTTTGGACTGGACAGCTCTTCAGCTGCTTCTTCCAGTGATCTTGGGTCTTCGAGGCAATCAACCATATGTTTTGAGCGCCTTAGGAGTGGTAAGAGGGGTGACTTTGAGAAGTCTCAGATAAGCAGTACTATGAGTCGTCAAAGCATTGCTTCTGTGTCAGATATGTCAATTTGTAGCTCTTCAGCTTCACTTTGCCCTCAGAGTGATGCAGTAGGAGATTCCTGTTTCCCAATTGACACTTTGGAAAGCAGTACTTCAAGAACATTGATCTCTTCTGAAGAAAATGATGCTTTTTGTAAGGATGCTTTGCCAAGTGCTATGGAATATTCGTTTTCTTCACAGGTTATTGCCGATGATGACAGTCCCGTTGACTTGAAAAGTGAGCTAGGAGATACAACAGTTGAGAATCATAGTGCTGGCAGAATGGCTGACATGGATCATACCAGTACAAATATGTATTCTTTAGATACTGAAATGCCAAGTGATACCCGAGAGTCATCAGGCCTAGAGGAAAGTTGCATGCCTGAAACTGAAGAGGATACTTATGCCATCAGTCAGTGCAATAAAGGTAGTGCTCCTGAACATTCAAGTGATGAGAACAACTTTGATGATATTCAAATGCAGTCCGAAATAGTTCAGGGTTCAGCTGAGGAAAACAGATTGGATGATTGCTGCATGTCTGCCATCTCCGAGGAGGACGTGTTGATTTCTGGACAAGAAGCTGACATAAGGAAACTTCCCAATGATGGTACGGATTTCTGTATTCTTTTTTTTTTCACCTACAAGAGTTATGAGTTGTGCCTATCTCAAAGCTCATGTATATATGTTACTTGCTTGAGTCATGCATTGGTCCTCTATTTGTCTTGTCTGGTATATAGTTTTTCTGGTCCGGAATTAGCTGTTGTATGTATATAGCAGATCTTTTGTGGACATGATTTATTCTTTGGACCAAATAAAAGAAAATCCAGGGTGGACATGGGTCTGTTTGGTTCATGTCCTTTAGTGCCGAGCTAAATTTTGTCGCTGCCTAGGTTATCTGGCTAGCATTTTTTTTCTCGAACACGCAGGAGAGTTGCGTATCATTGCATTAAAAGAAGAGAGTTACAACACATCCAAGCATCCCTAAAAAAACATTTGGTTTAGGGTCCAGTTTGTCCGAGCCAAGGAAATTATGGCCACGCTGTGTAGAGTAAGCAGCAAGCCGCAGAAGATTCCAGGGCGGCTGATTTTTGTGCCACATTTTGGCTTGGTGACATTGTTAAGCACAAGCTGAAGTGTCAGCTGGCTGCTGGTTCCAAAAATTGCGTTGATTGCTGCATTATCAATGTTCAGATCACAATATTTGCTAAACCAAGTATCTCATTGCAAATCTTTTTGAAGTATTTTGTATTGTACAACAACAACAACAACAACAACAACAAAGCCTGTCAGTCCCAAGCAAGTTGGGGTAGGCTAGAGTTGAAACCCACCAAGAGCCCCTAGTCACGGTTCAGGCACATCAACAGCTGCTTTCCAATCACTCCTATTCAAACATAGATCTCTAGGTATATCCCAAGCTTTCAAATCTCTTTTTATTGCCTCCCCCCATGTCAATTTCGGTCTACCTCTACCTCTCCTTACATTATTAGTTTGGCTTAGGACTCCACAATGCACTGGTGCCTCTAAAGGTCTCCTGTGCATTGTGGAGTCCTAAGCCAAGCTAAAACAAGAAGGAAGTATTTTGTATTGTATTCCGTATAATTAATCTGATAAAATAAGACCTATTTTCCCTATAGTTGATTAAAAAATACTTATGACATAGGCCCCACATGTGATCTTGGTTTGACAGGAAAATTAGGCTACTTTGGCTTGGCCATGAAACAAACATATCATTTTTTGCCAAAATTTTGCACTGTCCAACTTTGTCCACTGCCAATATTTGGTCAGGCCACCTGGGATATGCAACCAAACATGCCTATAATTCTATGATTAAGCAATCAGTCCAATAGGTGTGTTAATTATTTGAAGGGGCCATGCATAAAAATACCTTTGATGTGTGAAATTTACAAGAGGGGTGGGTAATTTCCAAGTGTTTGGTTTCAAAGAACATCTTCATGATTGTTTAATAAACCATTTTACTCCCTCCATTTCAAATTATAAGACGTTTTGGCTTTTCTACATACATAGATTTGCTATGCACTTAGATACACACTATATCTAGATACATAGTTAAAACAATGTATCTAGAAAAACCGAAACGCCTTATAATTTGGAACGGAGGGAATACTGTTCTTGTGCACACTGCAGCATAGTAGAAAAAAATTTGCAGGGCATTTTTGGTTGATTTATCATCTTAAATTGCTAGCCCTGATGTATCTTCAAAGATATGCATGCCTTCTATTTTCTTCTCATAATCAATGAAATTATTTGTATCCTTTGATGAATATAGGTGAATATATAAGTATTTGATACTTATTTGCAGTAGGGGTTCCACCCTTCCTGCTCCTCTTAAAAAAAGAATATATAAGTATTTGACACAATATTTTTCTCTGAATTGTAGAAGAATTTTGTGCGGAAGTAGAAGGATCAAGGAAACAAATCCAGAGATGCTTCACATTGGAAGAGGCTGCTGATACAATTCTCTTCTGTAGTTCTATTGTCCATGACCTTGCATACAAGGCTGCGACTATTGCATTGGAAAACAAGAAGGAATCAGAGTTTGTCGACTCTATTCGCCCAACTGTTACAATAGTCGGAGGATCTTTTCCTAGGGAAGAGAGTTTACCAAAGCTGCCTCACAGACGAACTCCAAATCGTAAGGTCAAAAGGAAAAGATTGGAAGGTGAAACAACTACAACGGAAACTACAGAGAAAGATGCTGTTGCGAAAGACTCCCCCCCTGTATGTTCTGCATCGGGTATTGCAAGGAATTCTGATAATATGAAACCTCCAAAGCTGGAGTCCAAGTGCAACTGTATAATCATGTAAGTAACTCAATCACATCCAGATCGAAGGAGATTTGGGATATTGGTTGGGACAAAAATCGATGCATGCTGGTTTCATGTTACATGCAACTTGAAGAACGCCTACCTGCTTGGTTTAACCCGTTGTCAGCAACGATGGAGTTCAACACAGTGGATCTTCCACTAGATTATTTTACAAAGGTGCATTTGCTGTGTTTTAGGTGACAGAATGCACTGCGAGATATTCTTTTGTAAAGTCTTTTCTTCTCCTTCTCTGCTGTGGAAATTTTCTGCTTGTCGTGAGGTCCATTGCGGTTTGTCCAAAGTGTGAAAGACTACTAGAGTTGTGCTGATAGCCTATCTACTTGCAACGCACGTGGCTGCTTGTGAAAATGATGGTCGTATACTCGTATGCACACGGCCTGGATCTCAGTTTCTGCATTCCGCAATGCATCTCTTCATTCTGGCCTGTGGCTGTGGGTGTTGGTTCTTTTGCCCCACACCATATATGGTGGCGTTCTCAGCTCTCCAAGTTCTTACTTTGAGATTTTTACCTGGACTGAAAGTAATGGCTTTATTTTCCATGCCTCCTAACATACGAAAGGGCGTCGATTGATATCTGCACATAGCTTAGCCTGACGCCTTTACCTGAACATAGAAAATCTGTTGATATTAATTTACTCATTGAATCTGAGAATTGGGGAGTCCATTTATATCGGTAATTTTACTATAGAGATACTTGGAGCGTAGGATTGTATTGGAGAAATTCCATTAAATTAGATTTATTCCTTTCCCTGAAGTCCATCTCTAACAAGGTACCCTCATATCTAGCTGTGGACCTTTGCTAATCAGGTGTATTCACTCCGTTCCTAATAGAATATATTTCTCGCCTTTTTTTTAAAAAAAAAGTCAAACAATATTAAGTTAGACTAAAATATATAAAAAAAAATATTAATATTTATGATACCAATTAAGTACCATTCATCCAAGTGTTTGACTTAGCAATATATGCACAATACAAGTATGCCTTACATTCATTCTCTACCCATGAGCTCCACATGTGCCTTAGAATATGATGTAAAGGCTAAGCATCATGGCCTCGGTGAGTTTCACACACCACTAAGAGACTTGAGAGTACCATCTAAGGAACTTAAGCATGATTCTTTCAAAACTTACTCAAAACCTCCGGAAGGTTTGATCAAACTAAGGTGGGAGAATGAGCACTCTGTCTAGCTGTTCTGTCTTTCAACTTCTCATAACAAGGTGAAAGCTATAAGCCCCACGATGGCTACCAAACCAACTGCTGAACTATTGGAAGTCCTAAGCTCCCAATAGTGTATATAATTTTATAATAAATAACTATCATTAAATTTAATCATGAAATATATTTATTATGTAATAAACATATTTGGAGGCATGAATATTGATATTGTTTTTATGAACTTAACCAAACTTAAGAACATTCGACTGATGAGCAAGATCCCAACACAGTATTTACAAGCCTGATGAGCAGGGTACACCATTATGTACACAGAACTAGGTTTTCCCTAAGCCAGATGAGCAGGATACACCCTTATGTACACAGAATAGCGTGCTGTCGTCTTCAGCTAAAGTGAGTACTGGTGCCCGCTATTCAGCACTCTGCGAATGACATCCGTGTTCCATCCAAATACAGAATCCGAGCTGTCAACACGTCCAAGGAAAAGGGGTCACCTGGAGATCGAGATATATGTAGAGAATCTTAACAAAAAATTGTTTGGGCTAACTAAGGATGGGCCTTATCACAGACCGACCAATATCAAATATAAGACTCACCTTGGGATCATGATCTCGTGATTGAAAATTCTGTCAGGGATGGCAGGAATGTGGTCCTTTTTCTCATTGGCGAAGTTTATGATCTGGAATAGCACTTCGTTAATCAACGACTCCAATGCAGCACGCCTTGTGCTGGTCTCCTCCAGAGCATTCGCTAGGAGCATATTGCATAAAATGTTACTGCTACATTCAATATGTTTATGACAGCGTCACGAAGGCCATGAAACTTTAGTTAACCAAATTACCTCCGATGTTTGTCAGCCCTTTGGAGCTGTTTGACTTGCTGTATCTTTTTGGGCTCATGACATGCAAATTGATGAACCATTGCTCCCAATAAATGCGCTCTGTTTTGTTGACAAACCAACCTGGGTGTCTCTGTTTCTCGTCGAAGAAGGAGAGGCATATCTGAGATATTCAGTTCAGTAATCAGAAGAAAGATAACATAGTTCGGCAGCAACAGAAGTAAACTGCAGCATAATATCAAAATGGCTAATTGTTGTAGTTCAGACCTGGCTTCTGCGATTTGGGTGTTTCTCCACCCAAGCAGTGAACTGGTCTATCTTTTCATCAACTTCCTTTTCTAGTTCCGGTAGACCACATTGTACCTAAACACATGAAAACATCGAAGTAAGCAGTGGCAAAGAAAATGCAAATGAAATAAAGTTATTAGACTGCAACAAGAAAGGTAATCATATTTGGACAATACATCTGCCATCGTGGTTAAGTTGGAAACTGATACAGAGAAAGCAACTTGCTGAAATGCTTGTTGAAATGCTATACAGTGTATCTATCTATCTATCTATAATATAAAAGAGCGAAAAAAATTGAAAATACATACCCAAAAGTTTTTTACCCACTCTATATTAGAACCCTCAGGTCATTCATATCTCTAAATCTAAAGGTGCAAACTAATCTGTCAGTGGGCCATCAACGCGCTTACAGTCACCATTGAGAGTCTTACGCGTTCCTGCCGCCCTCCCCAGACCATCTTTTTTCACCGAATAACTTTTTACCCACCCGCGTACACGCAACACCCCCTCCCGTGTGCTTCTCTCCCTCCCGAGATGTAAATCATGGTTATGCATCATTCCTTCTAGAGAACTCTTCTATCTACTGCCTCTTCTCTTCCTTTCCCTTGCTCGCTGACGCCAGGGTTCCGTGCCCGCAGCGATCGAGGATGGACCAGCGTGTACCAACGGGCGTGGGAGAGAGAGCAGCGCCGCCTGCTTGAGTAAGCTTTGGATTTCTAACACACAAAACATGAGTTGCTGCCCACAGCACATACTCCCCCTGTCCCAAATTATCTATCGCTTTGGGTTTCCGCGCCGCAAGTTTGACTCGATTTGTAGAAAATGCGTGCAACATTTGTATCTCCAACAACAACAACAACAACAACAACAAAGCCTTTTAGTCCCAAGCAAGTTGAAACCCAACATGAGCCCCTAGTCACGGTTCAGGCACGTCGATAGCTGCTTTCCAAGCACTCCTATCTAAACAAAGATCTCTAGGTATACCCCAACCCTTTAAATCTCTTTTTATTGCCTCCCCCATGTCAGCTTCGGTCTTCCTCTACTTCTCCTCACATTGGTATCTCGACTTAGGATTCCACAATGCACCGGTGCCTCTGAAGGTCTCCTTTGGACATGGCCAAACCACCTCAACCTATGTTAAACAAGCTTTTCTTCAATTGGTACTACCCCTAGACGGTCACGTATATCATCGTTCCGAACTCGGTCCATCCTTGTGTGACCACAAATCCATCGCAATATACGCATTTCCGCGACACTCAGTTGTTGGACATGTCGTCTTTTTGTAGGCCAACATTCTGCTCCATTAACATTTGTATCTCCAAATAAATTTATTAAAAAACTTGATTCAAAGATCTTTCCAATGATACTAATTTTGTACCATAAATGTTAATATTTTTAATATATATTTTATCAAAGTTGTTTCTCGGGAAGCGAAAACGACAGATATTTTGGGACGGAGGGAGTATTAATCTGTTGATCACTTTCTCTGTTGATTCTAAACTTCACAACTACACATTAAAATCAGTTAGCTCCTTTTGATTCCGGTTTACCGAAAAGTAGATCTCAATTAGACCTGACAATGGATTTGGATCATCCAAAATCTAAATGGATTCAACCCACTTTGGATTTAATTGGATGGATGTTGTTTGGACCTGGACATTCTTTCCATGAGATCCAAACGCATTGGATTGGTTTATAGAAAGAGCTGGATATCCAAATATCCATTGGACCTCGCCCCTCTCCTCCCGGTGCCTCTCCCAGGTGGGCGGCAGCACCTCCACCGTGGCATCTTCAGCTTCCAGCAGTTGCTCGTGGCGTCGTCTTCCTCCGGCTGTTCCTGCTACTACGGCGATGCCTGCCGCCTAATAAGTGCATGGTGATATGCTTCTCCAGCTTGCCAGATCACGTCTGCGTACCTTGGCCACCTTTGCCGCGTACGGCGTCGACGCGCTCCGGCTTAAATCGTCGTTGGCTCGTGGTCCCGGGTGCTGTTGGCCTCTGCTGGTGCAGCGAGGATCGTCTGGGACTGGAACACCACCTGGTTAGGCTGCGCGAGCACCATGGCGAGCACGTCGATGATGGCGTCCCACTGCTTCTCTGCCTCCGTCCCTGGAGATGTCGAACAAGGTCGGTGACACCGGCAAGCTGGAACGGGCTGCTGGAACGGTGAGTACCTCAGGGACGGAAGTATTTGGACAATTGGATTGGATTCGGATTGACGAGATACTGGACTGGATTTTCTGTGCATGACAATGGTTTGGATTGGATGCATGCCTCACTAGTTGGATTCCTTTTGAACTGGGTTGATTGGATGCGGATGCTAATCCACTTCCAGGTCTAATCTCAATATTAGTAACAGTAATACTGAACCATGGCTAATGACTACAGCTAAGTGAAGCATTACAATGACAGAACCAATTTGATTGGCCATAATAATACGAGGAAAAGAGAAGACAGGCATTCTTGCCCACCGCTAGACAGTCGTATAATATGTCAAATGCCAGTAAACACTCTAGTCACAGATTGGGGTTCCAGACATGTTCTTAAATAATCCTAGCTCGCATCTTCTTGTAAGTTACTAACTTTAGAACACTCAATTATTGGGATATTGGGTCTTTGGAAAAGTTGTCACTGAGGAATATAGGTTACATTTTCTCTTGAAACAAAATCTGGTTTTAGAACCATATATTGTGAATATAAGTAGTGGTGAAAATTGCAGTTGGGAGTCTGTGAAAAGCGAAAGCATCAATAATTTTCAAATGGAAGTAGTAAATATATAAATATAATTACTTAAAGCACAACACCGTATGCCTTGACCATGGAAACAAACCCAGATCTTAATGCAGGGAAATACTCACATAAGTGATCTCAAGGAAATCACAGTCAACATCTTTGGGGCGAACCAGGTTGAGGGTTCTATGGAAGAATATGGTGTGCAAAATGCCTGCAGCATAGTTCATATTTACCATATCCATTAGCAGGTGCTATGTAGTATAAAAGAACACACAGAAATACTCCAATTTCTTATTACTAATAGAACGACCTGAAGTTAAGAGAGATAAGGATCCCCAGAGAAATCTCATGAAGTCATCTAAGTGATGAGTGCACTTACTAATAATCATGGCAAGTATAAAGTTTAACTATCTGTAGAATGGAAGGAGCTCGAGCACATAGAAAAAGGTTAAGAACTCACAGCAGCAAGGACTCTGGAACCAAGATAAGCACAACAAAGTAGTGAAAAATACACAGCATAGTGTCGTGTCGTATAATAATATGATCTGCTGCAGAGAGTAACTCCACTATTAGCCCAATTTTTTTGTTAAGCTTCCAGTGCCATACATCCATACAGCATTTAATTTTCCCCATGGGGGAAACCTAGGTGAAATCTGTCAGAACTACGAAGAGGATGAACAATGAGACGCAAACACAAGTAATTTGGTGCTGCAAGCGGCAGCGTTTTCTGGTGTCTCTCCTTTCATTATAAAGAAATTACATGCAGTCATACATGGTTACAAACTAATTGAGACAATCACGGTATGCCCGGATCGGTTGTTGCCATCCCAACATCCAGGGACATGCCGCCTGCCATACTTAGCCACTAATCAGTCTAAGTTGCCTTCTATGGTTAGCGGGTGCTCAGGGTTTATTCTAACAAAATCCACTAGTTAACCATCATCGTGATTTCAAAACTGCAACATGAAATTACTCTATTCCAAAATGGAACCATAACAACAAAGAAGCATGTGAATGAATACAGCACATTAGAAGCATGTGAATGAATACAGTACATTAGGGTTTCCGTGTCGTGTCAATAGAGAGCAATTTGTTGAGGTAATAAAAGACCCCTTTCAACGAAGATAGAGAGATGACAAGGGATGCGAAAAGCTAAGATCTGAGCACTCACATCGCAGCACATCCCTGATCTCCGTCGGTTCCAGCTCCTGCGGCCCAAACAACCAGAAAAAAAAAAAGAAAACGAATTCGTCAAAATAAGCGACGAGAAAGCAAGCAAAGAACCGTGGTGAAACCGAGGCAGGGCATAGGATCGGTATCGGACCAGCTCCTTCAGCTGACAGGTCTCGCAGTTCATCTCCGCTCGCCGCTGCGGATCGGGGCAGAAAAATCAATCCAAGCAAGCAAGCCAGGCTTCCTCACCAACAGGTGAAGCAATCGGTCAGAACCGGATGGATCTGCGATTCCAGTAGTTGGAGTAGGGGGGGAGGGGAGCGGAAGAGGTCGAGGGCTGTGAGAGCCGAGAGAGGAAGTCGAGGAGGCGTGCTTCAGTTCAAAGTTTCATTCTGATGTGTTCATCAATTTCTTTTCAAAAACAGATAACGACCATAGGGGTTTCAGGTCATGTCCATAGTTATTTCGGATAGAACCGGACCGCAGTCAGATCGGTAAAAATCACCGGTCCGGTTAGTTTAAAAGACCACTCAGCAATCGAGCCAGTAAAAACCAATAAAACTGGCGGAGTTTTTATGTCACGGTGTGTAAGAGAACAAGGCAAATACGTAGTCGTCGATAATATATCATGGACAGTACTAAGAGGGTATTATATGTTATCGACACAGAGACGGCTAATCAAGAACAACAAGACAACAAAGACCTACGAGTTAGACAGATTCAGACCATAATACTCTACTCCTATGGCATGTTCGATTGTATTGGTTATCGTATGATATTGCGTGAGTTTGGAGGAGCTCTGCTCACCATATATAGTTTGGGAGCAGGGTTATAAGTCGGTTAGATTTGAAAGATAACCGGAAAGTAATAACAGATTACAGGAATCATGGGATCATACGTATCCTAACAGATCCCCTAGTATCTTTAGGGTATCTTCCCGGTGTCTTGCGGGAGACACCGAGCAGCGTCGCGCCCCGCAAGGCTTCATCTTGTGGGCTAAACCGTCCCTAGGGGCGTAGCCCATATGGTCTGCCGTGGGTATCCGAGGTCATACCCCTCACAGCTAGTCTCGGAGCGTCTTGTACCCATTGTGCAACGCCGTCTTGAGCTTGTCTGAGCAGGTGCGAATAAAGCCGAGCAGTCAAACTCATGGTCTGACCACTGTGATGAGTTGCCGAGCAGTTGTGAGCAGTTGCCGAGCAGCGTGAGCCGTCGCCGAGCGGTGCAACCCAAGTACGGCTTGCCATAAGGGTGTAAGGAGCTCAAGTTTAGAATCAAAAAAAATTTCGCAGTGGACCAAGTGTGTCCACTTAGAGTCCGACCACGAGAAAGGGAGAATCTTCTTCAGCTTCCAGAGGCGCGGAGTCTTTCAGAATAAAGCAAACACATTCACCGCAAGGTGAAGTGTGCCCACTTAGTCCCCGAGCCTTACAGTAGATGACGTAGTCATATGGTGCCAGGGTCCAAAGTAGACGAATAGTAGAAAAACCAGCCGAGCAGGCAGCCAGTCTCCAGACGTAGCCCCGAAATGAGAAAAAAGCACATTCACCGC